TTTGACTTTGGAAAATCAATTTCATTTGGATTTAAATTAAGGATGGAAATTAAGCAAGAAGGCATAGGGAATTAACATATAAGCTTGGTAATTAGTCTAATCTTGGATGGCAAACAATTAAGGTTTGGCTTATAAATAGCCATCTCCCTTCCTCACAAGCTCACATTTTCGGCCAACTAGGGGAAACTCTTGCCAAATATTTTCTTGAAGTGCAAGTAAGGAGAAACCCTCTACTTTGGTCATCTAAGCTTGGATACAAGATTAGTTTTATGTTCTACCTTGTATTAGGCCTTGTTTTCTTTAGTTTTATGTTCTACCTTGTATTAGGCCTTGTTTTCTTGAGTTTAGTGGTTGAAAAATGTTGATTCTCTTAAAGGGAGGTACTAGCCAAAATTTATTAAAATAGGGGAGGATGATTTTGATGTTGAACCCAGGTTAAAGATATTGGTTATAGCTTATTTCAAGTGGTATTATGTTAAAATTTGAAAGATTGAATGATATGGGTTTTGTTGGTACTGTTTGGCCAAGTCTGAGTCTTTGCCCTACGATGTGATTTTATGAGTTTTGATGCTTCCATTGGGTTTGAAGTGGAAAATGATATAGGGTAAACCTAAAGAACAAGCTTTAGAAGCATCGGCATTAAAGTTGAAAATTTAGAACTTTTGTGTCTTATCATTCGGCCAACACTGTTTGGGAAGGAAGGAATTTTCTTTTCATGAATCTAAGCTCATATTGGATTCTATATGAAAAATTATGTAGGATTGATATAAAAAGATAATTTTTATGTTAAAGGAAATAAAGCTCCAAAATTCAAGAATCAAGGGTTAAGGGTTTACTTGAGAATTGTTATTAAGTCTTGTGTAGTTTAAGTTGTAATATGGTTGCCCTTTTGTAATGTGATATTTAGGATTTGATATTTATGGAGAAAAAGATCAAGACCAAAGAATAAGAGTGCACTTGGATCAAGGTAGCAAGATTTAATTAACTTTAATATTGATATTGCATTGATTGTTAATGCATGGATGATTGCTGCTATGTAGTTGAGTTATGATGAATGTTTATGTGGCTACTCCTTGCATTGAAATTCCTTGACTATTGCATATTAGAAATTGCCTAAGTATGAGGAAGAATTAGCTTCCTAATGATAGCAAAGGTTGAAATGCTTAATGATAGTGCATGTTTGATGTTATGGTTGATTTTATCTTACTATTGGGATTTCAATAAAATCTTGTTCCTTCCAAATACAATTAATTTTTCTAGGGGCTAAACCATCCAAGAAGAAGAAGAAAACCTTGAAAGAATGACATATATTTGTGAGACTTCCTTGACTTTTGACAATTGTAAATAAATGTATGCATGGATGATGTAACCCTTTAAGCTGTTATCTTGGAGCTGTAATTTGACTAAGCTTTTGTCCATATTAAATTCTAAAATTTGGCAAAATTATAGTTTACATCTTAAGCTTCAAATAAATAGGTAAAATGTTTAAGTTGGATATGTGTACAATTTATGATGATTTTTCAAAGTTAGGATTTGAAATCTGGAAAAGGTTTTTGTCCAATGGAACAGTAGTAACTTCTGTAGAAATATGGCATTATTTCACGTTGAATGGGTTCCTAAGATTATTTTTCTTTTAAAGAGCATTCAAAGAGCTTTGAGTAACTTCTGTAGGACTTAGAGCCACTCTGTTTTGATTTTTTTAAAATTAATCATGAATTTTCAAGATTGGATAGAAATTCTGGAATTACTAAATGAATAGTAAACCCATAAATAACATTCCAGATCCATTTTGCTTGAGCTTAAAGCCATCCAAAGTGGTCTAAATTAACATAAAATGGACTTTAAAGTATTATAAAAGTAAGGTGTAACATGGAATGACTCCAGTACGGTCAAATGCAGCAGCCTTCTGCACAGCCTACAACTACTCGTCCATCATATTCCTTTCTAGACCGTTGTACCCCCCTCAAGACATGATATGTGGGCACACATTTTGCTTTGATATTTGCTTGTTCCCCTTACTCAGTGTCTATGAAAATGAAACAAATTCAATAAAGTCTCTCCATATAATTAAAATGTGAATTCATTTAATAACTAAGTTTATATGCATTAAACCTGAAACGTACAGTCTTCTCACTGCTTAACAAACTTCTCCCACGCTTCGTCACTTACGGAGACGTATCGATCCTTTAGGTGCTGCTTACCTCTCCTCTCTCCATAGAGATAATCTACTGCAAGAGCAGACTTAAAGTCTCTCCACCGTTCATCCGCTTGCTTTAAAATACGGTTCTTCATCTCTTCAATAGCGAGAATATCAAAAGTGAACTGCAATAAAATACAAAATATATACATATATAAGTTGGAAGTAATCAATCATTAATAACTAAAACAAATGACGAAAAGATAGAATAGAAATATACCAAAATATCCTCCTAAATGCTATCCTTCACACTTTTGTCTATCAATTTCCGATTTGAATACTCAATATTAATCTTATTACGTGCCAAATAACCCACGTAACTATCCAGCTTAGCCCCTTTAAGGCCTATCACTTTCATATCATCATTAAACTCCACTGTTATCCTTGGAGTCTGTGTATCCTCATCACGCAAAGCCAATGATCTCATTCGGGTTGGACCTCTACCTCTTTTCTTGCTGGTATAAGTACTGACGTTGTCACCAGAACCATGATGACTGTCACCTGGTAGACCACTAGAACCATCCATGTCTTCTTCACAAAATAATCAACAAATGTAAGGAACAGAAGTAATAAAAAATTGAAAGGGTAAGTAATAAATAATCACGAAATAATAATACACACAATAAACAAGTTGAACTATTGCTTTATGCCTTAGTAATGATTATTAATGATTGTCCTCCTAAATTCCTACACAATGATAATCCCTAACAGCATATTCTTCATCTACCAAATCAAATTCAACTGTTTTAGGTCAATTAGCTATGAAAGGTAGGTTTTCATCGAGGTTGAACCCTAAGTTATTGTCATCTCCAGTTCTTCACCACCCACTTGCCTCTTAGCTTGGAGCATGATAGACAGATTTTTCTTTGCTGGATTGATGACATAAAATACTTATTTCGTTTGACTTGCTAAAATGAATGGTTCATTTCTATAGACAACCCCTTTAAGATCAACCGAAATAAATCCAAACTCTTCATCTACTTGCACAGCATTACTATTAACCCATTTATATTTGAAGAAGAGAATCTTAAACTTGGTGTAACCAACCTCCATAAGTCTTTAATCACTCCATAATAGGACATGGATGCCCATGTTAGGTTTTTATCTTTTGAACTAGAAAAATGTTCACTTCAGTCACAACCATCACCCTACTATTCTGCATAGTACTTTTTTCATCTTGAGCTTTTGTGTAAAAAGAATAACCATTTATATCATATCTGTTCTAACACACAACCTCAAAATGAAGCCCTGCCGTTAGTCTTTGTATTTTCTTAGAAGGATTCCATCCTTTAATACTTCTTGCTTAAACCTTTTTGCAAATGACTTGTTGTGCTCATTAGCTAGTTACATATCATTCTTTCTTGGGTTCATGTTCCTTAGCATATTCTTGTGAGCATCCAAGGCAAAACTTCATCCGTATTGTTCAAAATGTATAAATATGCTTGCATCACAACATCACAAGGCATGGACCTCACTATGACACCTTGTGTTCCTTTGCTTCTCCCATGATCATGCCAAGATTAAGGTAATCCAATTGCCTTTACCCTTTCAAGATATGCATTACAAAACTCAACGACCTTCTCAGCTACATATCTCTCAACAATTGATGCCTTAGGCTAATAAGAATTCTTAGAATATCCTTTTAATATTTTCACATATCTCTCAAATGGGTACATCCATTTCAAACACACAGGGTCATAAAGTCTTATCTCTCACACAAGGTGAGTTATCAGATACTCCATAATGTCAAAAAATATCAAAGGAAAATGCATCTCCAATTAAGAGAGGATAGTATAACTTTCATTTTCTAATTCGTCCAACTCAACAGGATCAATCACCTTACTGCAAATAGCATTGAAGAATATAGAAAGTTTTGTAATAGTATTCCTCACATCATTTTTCATAATGTCTCGAACGGCCACTGATAGTAATTTTTGCATCAATACATGGCAATCGTGGGACTTCGTCCCATTATCTTCAAATCTTGCATTGAAACAAGCTTCCTCAAATTACAAGAATACCTTTACGGCAGCTTAATACCATTCAAAGAACCACACAAGCTTGTTTTCTCTTTCTTTGACAAGGTGTACATTGCTGGATGCAAATAAGCTCTCTTGTCCTCTCTTTCTTATGGGTGTAGTAGTTTTCTTATTCCAAGTTCAACTAAAGCACATCTCGCATTGATTCCATCCTTACTCTTTTCACTTACGTGCAAAAGCCTACCAATAAGGCTCTCACACATGTTTTTCTCTACATGCATGATATCTATACTATGTCTTACATCAAAACTCCACCAATATGAAAGATCAAAGAAAATAAACCTCTTCTTCCATATATTCCACTCGCCTGCAGTCTTCTTCTTCTTCTTACCGAGAATGACATTAACTCCCTCCACTTGTCGATAAACTTCTTCTCCAGTCACTAGTATTAGAACTATTTGATATTTTTGTGAGCCATTAAATGCTTTCTTCAACTTATGATAATAGTGGTATCGGTTAAGTAACCTTATGTGACTAAAGTAAACTGTCTTCTTTCATGCTTTAGTTGCATATGGTGCATACCTTCTTCACCTATAGGACACTCTTTATACCCCTTAGTACTATATCCTAACAACTTTCCATATGCTGGAAAGTCATTCATAGTGATGAAGATCATGGTGACTAGTTTGAAGATCTCTTATTTATATGCATCAAACACATCAACTCCTTCATCCCATAGTTTCTTGAAGTCCTCAGTCAAAAGTGCCAAGTAGATATCAATATCGTTTCCTGGCTGTTTTGGCCCTGAGATCATCAAAGACAACATGTTATACTTTCGCTTCATACACAACCAAGGAGGTAAGTTATAAATCACAAGAAGAATGGGCCAAGCACTATGTGTGCTACTAAGATTTTCACATAGATTGATTCTATCAGTACAGAGTCCAAGTCAAAGGTTTCTTGGCTCACTACCGAATTTAGAAAATTTTTGAACTATTATCTTCCATTATGGAGAATCAGTCAGGTGATGAAGTTTTCCATCACTTGTTTTCTCATCTAAATGCCACATCAAGTTCTTTACTTCTATGGTATTAGTAAACAAACACTTAAACTATGGTATTATTGGAAGATACCATAACACCTTTAAAGGAGGACCTTTGGTTATTTTGTCACAATCACCATCGTCTTTCTTCACTTTATATCTTGAAGAGCCATATTTAGGGCACTTATTCAACCCTTCATACTCATTTCTATACAGTATGCAGTCATTAGGGTACGCATGTATCTTCTCATACTCCAAACCCGTCGAACACAAAATTTTCTTCACCTCGTACATTACTTTAGGAAACGAATTCCCTTTAGGAAGCATATCACTGAGCAGCTCGAGCAATTCTGTCAAATTAGCATTGGTCTAATCATTTCTTGCTTTCAAGTTCATCAACTTCAACACAGCACTCAACCTTGTGTAATCATCTTTACACCCTGAATACAAAGACATCTCTGCAACATTATGCAAGCTTTCATATGCGGGAGAGAGTTGTGTAAAGGACCTTTAAATATTAATTGACAAAAAAATCATTTTTCTTTTGAAAAGCAGAATTATACTAACCCAAATTCCTTTTCTGTCAGTGGCTTTTTTTTCCCTCTGTTTTCCTTCCTTTCTTTCTCTCTTTCTTTCCTTCTTTCTTTTCCCTGTGACTACTGATCTTTCACTAGGAACTTCAATTCAAATCATGTGGGACAGAGAAATTTGAGAAAACAACAGATGCAGAAGCACGTGTCAGAATGTGACAAAAAAAAATGGTTCAACTTGATTCAATAGTCTTCGGCGTCTAATTAAGCACTAACTTCCACTACATCAGTTGTCACTGGTGGGGCAGAGAAATATCACAAAATCAAATGTATGTATTGAAAGTTGATTGTTTACTCTCTACAGCTTGCTTGGAAGACTAGAAAAAGTTCCCATTTGCAGAAAAATTGATAAATGAATGAGAGGCCTGAAAAATTTGTGAACAATATGTCAAGTCTTTGACGACTAAATGCTCTAAATCATTGGAGTAGGCGAAAAATAGGCAAATAGTTGTTCACAGGACTCAAAAACCCATAATTCACTGCCTCTATTTCCCCATAATCAACATGTGCATTGGATTCAGTAAAAATTCTTGCTTGTCACTCACTTTTCTTGTACATTTGTTCTCCTTCTTTGTTTAGGCTCAAATAATAGCATGTTCACGCTTGGATTCTTTAGTCCTGAGAATTCCACAAATCGCTACTTAGGGATTTGGTTTATGACTGAATCCACAATTGTTTGAGTAGCAAATAGAAATGACCCACTAAGAGATTCTTCTGGGATTCTCACAATATCAGAGAATGGTGATCTTCTTATTTTGAATGGGGAAAAGCAGGTTGTTTGGTCAACACATGTCTCACATATTGCATCAAATTCCAGTGCTCAATTCTTGGATTCTGGCAACCTTGTACCCGTTGATGGCATTACTGGAGCAATGATGGGGCAGAGTTTCCAACATCCTTGTGAGACATTATTACAGGACATGAAACTCAGTACTAATCAACAAAAAGTTGAGAAAGTGCGACTTACATAATGGAAAAATGCATATGATCCATCCTCTGGGCATTTTTCTTGCAGTCTTGAACCCCACAATGTTACAGAAGTATTCGTGTGGAAGCAAAATCATCCTTATTGGCGTAGTGGTCGATGGAATGGTTCAGACTTTCTTGGAATACCTGGGAGATCATGTATGGTTGGAAATGGGTTTCAAGTGAAAGGAGCGGAAAGAAGTTTTGAAGTATCTTTTTATTTCATAGACAAGTCTATGTTGGTGATTTTTACAATAGATTCTCAAGGTAGATTAGAAGAACGACGTTGGAATTTCCAAAAAAGTATATGGGAAGTTGGGAAGACAACTGGGGATTCTGAGTGTGATGTTTATGGGAAATGTGGCCCATCCGGGATATGCAATAAGCAAAGCTCACCAATCTGCAGCTGCTTGAGAGGGTTTGAACCAAAGAACAAAGAAGAATGGGAGAGGCAGAATTGGCCCAGCTGTGGGTATGTGAGAATAAAAGCACTTCAATGTGAGATAAGCAATAATGGTTCTCAAGGTGGCCAGATAGATGGGTTTTTGAAGTTGGAAAGCGTAAACTTACCAGATCATGCAGAAACGTTACCTGATAATTTTATAGATACAATAGATTGTCAAGCTCCATGCCTGAAGAATTGCTCTTGCAAAGCTTATGCATATGAACCAGGCCTTGGCTGTATGGTTTGGAATGTAGACTTAGTTGACTTAATGAGCAACTCACCTGGAGGGGTGGATCTTTACTTACTTCTTGCCTCCTCTGAACAAGGTATCTTTTTAGTTTCGTTTTTTTCTTTTTTGGTTGCTAGATAGGTATCTTTTTTAGTTAATGAAAACATATATTTGATACTCAAGTAGGATTTGATACCAAACTTGAAATGTCGCTTCAGCATTATATATTTTGTCATATAGTTATTAGTTATCTTATCATATTCTGTTTTGTGTTTGTGGAACATTTTAGATAGAAAATGATATTCTTACTTCTTGCATTGTATACTGATGCAGAAGGGGATTATATATGCATAAGAGGGACATACAGTCTCATAAATGAGGGACTAAAACCTATTAAAGCCTATTATTAATGAATAGTAATAACAGCTATCAATCATAACGAATATTTATAATGAATGCATAATATTCCCTCAGTATTCACGCCAGTCATACTACTTGTATGCTTTTTCAATAGATTCATGACATTTGGAATGCTGTTCTTGTGAGTTCACTATTGTGGTCGTTGATTGCAAACTAGAGCGCGTTATATGTTTAAGGATGAATTTAAATTATATACACACACACACACACTTAAAGCTCTTTTGATTAGGACATGTGTAGTGTAGCCCTGAAATTATTGTCAGAAAATGAAGTCTATATGAATTTTCTTCTTATTTTGATACAGGTCCAGGCAAGAGGAATATGAAAACACCAACTGTGATATCGGTTTTAACAGGAACTATTCTGATTATAGCCTCTGGATTTTTCTTATGGAAAAAATGGCCAAAGCAAAAAGGTGATGTTTTGTCAGTGATTTGAGTGTTAAGGTGAATAAATCCTTGTTTTGGGAAAGTGAAGTCACATTTCTCCCTCTCTTTTTATCCTCTCTTTCTCCCCCACCCCAAAAACACATAATATGTGAGAAAAAATATAGTTGATTTATACCTTTTTCAAAAGATAAAACTAAACATAATTTCTTGTGCATTTGAAGAATGAACGGCATTACTTAGAAATTGTAGCATGTTATGATTTTGATGATATATGGATGATATGGAACGATATGTGCAAAGCACAGGGGAAATGCAGCATAACATAAGAAGGATTACAAAAGAGCAAGTAAAAAATCAAGAGCTATCATTGTTTGATCTTAGAAAGTTGGCAGCTGCAACAAACAACTTAGACAAAGCAAATAAACTTGGGCAGGGTGGTTTCGGTCCGGTATATAAGGTGCTATTCACTATCCTTCTTTCTTCGTTTCATTATTTTCCAAGTCATAAGAAATTAAGTAGATTAATGTTTTTATCACTTTCATGGGAGGTTTTTTGTCTTTTTTTTTTTCAGGGGAAATCAGTAAAAAGACTATCAAGATCAACTGGGCAAGGTATTGAAGAATTTATTAATGAAGTCGATTTGATTTCTAAACTTCAACACCGAAACCTTGTTAAACTTCTTGGTTGTTGCACTGAAGGAGAAGAGACACTCGTGTATGAATATTTACCAAACAAAAGTTTAGATGCACACATCTTTGGTTAGTGCTCATTTTCTATGCACATGATAGTTTACTGTATTGGATGTCTTTTATGCCTTGCAAAAGAAACAGGGGGCCAGGAAAAATGATTGAGCGTTTAAGATTAATAATCAATTTGCTTTCATATCTTTTTATGCGCAAGTTCAATAGTTGTGAAGGTAAAAGTAGCCTGTTGGCAGCAGATATTATTTACAATATAGCCAAGTCAAAAGAAGTCGCCTACGATACGCCAAATAATACCACCGTTATATTTATTATTTTTCTGCCATATTTTCGGATGTAAATGAGGAGTCTTCCTATGAGAATTTGCTCTCCTTCATCACTTTTCGCTAAAATAATTTTTCGTAGAGCCACTACAACAAAAATACTTGGGTTGGGGCAGATGCTTCAACATAATTGAAGGAATAGCTAGAGGATTACTATATCTTCATAGAGATTCAAGATCAAGAATTATATATAAAGATTTAAAGGCAAGTAAAATATTATTAGATGGAGGGATGAATCCAAAAAAAATCAGATTTTGGGATAGCTAAACTTTTCAAAGGTGAACCAAACCAAGCAAACACAAAAAGAATTGTTGGAACATTGTAAGTTAATTCTTTTTTTTTTCTCTTTGTCCTAAATACGAATATTGATAGAATATTGAGAGCTCAAAGATGTATTCAAAGGCAGTGGTTATATTTCTCCAGAATATGCAACTGAAGGACTCCATTCAGAGAAATCAGATGTTTTTAGCTTTAGCGTTTTGTTACTAGAGATTATTAGTGGGAGAAAAAATACTAGCTTTTATGAAGATGCAGAATCTTTTACACTTTTAGGTTTTGTAAGTTTCTCCAATTTACCTTCCTTTCTTGCAAAAGGTCTTAAATGCTTTTGTCTTGATAAACACAATATTGAATTCTGAAAATTGTCATTCTTTTTCTTGTAAATTTGTCTAGGCATGGAAATTATGGATAGATGGCCATGTTATACCTTTAATTGATCCACAAATATATGATGCAAGCTCTTACAAGGATATCTTGAGGTGCATACACCTAGGTCTTCTATGTGTGCAAGAAATTGTAAAAGATAGGCCTACTATGGCCTCTGTAATGTTAATGCTTCAAAGTGAGATTATGAATATCCCTCCGCCGAGCCAACTTGCATTCATCCTCAAGCAAACTATGTCATGTACTCCATGGCAAACACCAAAGAATGATGAGTTGTATTCCACCAATAATGTAACTCACTCATATTTTGAGGCAAGATAGAGATTGGTTAGTGTTGATCTTATTTCATTTGAAGGATCTAATGCATTCTTCATTGACATATCAGCTTTCATGATATTCATTAAGGCAGCTGCAAACCTTGTCTCTAGCTGCAAAAAATTTTATTTTGTTAGCCCTAATCATTTAATATGTTTTTCTGTATGTGATGAATACTTGTGATCATGTTCCCTCCAAATGCTCAATTGTATATGTAAAATTTGACTTGTGTTTGTTATATACTATCAGATCTTTGTAATATGTTTGGTATAAAAAACATGGTGAGTCATTCTTTACAAATCAAATGCGTGAATTCTTGTAAGTGGTTCTTGGTATATCTTTTTGCAATTTATTATCATAGAAATCAGACACGTGTAATGCTACGCAGTTTCTTTCAGGACTTGAGAAGAAAATAAGTATTTGGTCACACCCACGCGCATAGAAGACTTTGACCTTTTACTTTGATCAACTATGGTGGGCGAATATTTCAACAAGGTGCTTTAATGAGTTCATCAATGATGATCAATCAACCGATTAATGTTTTGTTTCATCTTAATTTTAGAATTTAAAATTCAAATATGGCGTTTTCACCACATTAAAAATATTTTTTTTAAAGAAGAAATACATAAGGCCTGTTTGTTTTTGTTCTTTGTTTTTTTGTTCTCAAAACAATTCTATAAAATTGTTTCTTAGAACAAGTTTTGAAAACAAAAAACAAAAGAATTTGTTTGGATAATAATTTTAAAAAATCATGTTTAAAAAAAAACTATAGAAAACTACATTTGGTAGGTGATAGTTGTCCCTGATAATGATGAGTGGTGGATAGTGGATGAGAAGAGAAGAAGATTTCTCAAAATTTTTCAAAACAAAAAATAAAAAACACAAAAACAAAAACAAGAAAACATATAAAAGTTGTTTTGGTTTTTTGGTTTTTAAAAACATATTACTGTTTTTTGTTTTTTAAAACAATCAATTAAAAACAAATTACCAAACAAGTCTTTTTGTTTTTCTGTTTTTAAAGATAAAAAATTATTTTCAAAACAAGAAACCAAGCCCATAGTAACCTAAATTCTTTTTTCCTTAGTAGTTTTTTTCCTTTTTAGTTTCTTTTCTTTTCTGAGTACTTATCTCTGTCTAGGAACTTCAATTCAAATCATGCGAGGCAGAAAAATTTGAGAAAACCACAGATGCGGAAGAAGCACCTATCAGAATTTGAGAAAAAATGGTTCAACTTGATTCAATAGTCTTTGGCGGCTAATTAAGCATTAACTTGATTGATTACTCTCTACAGCTTGCTTAGAAAACTAGAAAATGGTCCCACTTACAGAAAAATTGATCAATAAATGAGAAGTTCAAAAATTAGTGAACAATATGTTAAGTCTTTTACGTCCAAATGACTACGAGTATTCCAAGTTACTGGAGCAGGAGAAGAATAGGGAAACAGTAGTCCTTTACAACATTCAAAAACCCATAATTCTCTGCCTCCATTTGCCGATAATCAACATGTATATTGGATTCAGTAAAAATGCTTTCCTGTCACTTACTTTTCTTATATATTTGTTCTCTTTTTCTGCTCTGGTCTGTGCCTTGCACACCATTACGCCATCTCTGCTGATCCAAGAACCAGAAACAATAAGCTCAAATAATAGCATATTCACGCTCGGATTCTTCAGGTCTGAGAATTCCACAAATCGCTACTTTGGAATTTGGCTTATGACTGAATCCACTATTGTTTGGGTAGCAAACAGAAACAACCCACTGACTGATTCTTCTGGGGTTCTCACAATATCAGAGAATGGCAATCTTCTTGTTTTAAATGGGCAAAAAAAGGTTGTCTGGTCAACAAATGTCTCACATATTACAGCAAATTCCAGTGCTCAACTCTTGGATTCTGGCAACCTTGTACTCGTAGATGGAATTACAGGAGCAATGATATGGGAGAGTTTCCAACATCCTTGTGATACGTTGTTACATGACATGAAACTTAGCACTAATCAACGAACAGGTGAGAAAGTACAACTTACATCATGGAGAAGTACATCGGAACCATCCTCAGGAGAATTTTCTTGCAGTCTTGAACACCTTAATTTTGCACAAGTATTTGTGTGGAAAGACAATCGTCCTTACTGGCGAAGTGGTCCATGGAATGGTTCAGACATTCTTGGAGTACCTTGGAGATCATCTACACTTGGAAATGGGCTTCAAGTGAAAGAAGAGGAAGGAACTGTTGAAGTATCTTTTCATTTCACAGACAAGTCTTTACTGATGATTTATACAATAGATTCTCAAGGCAGATTAGAACAACGAGGTTGGAATTTCCAGAAAAATATAAGGGAAGTTGGGTGGGTAACTGGGGACTTTGAGTGTGATGTTTATGGTAAATGTGGCCCATTTGGGATCTGCAATAAGCAGAGCTCACCAATCTGCAGCTGCTTGAGAGGGTTTGAACCAAATAACAAAGAAGAATGGGCAAGGCAGAATTGGACAGGTGGGTGTGTGAGAAGAGAAGCACTTCAGTGTGAGAGAGACAATAATAATGTCTCTCAAGGTGGCCAAGCAGATGGCTTTCTAAAAGTTGGAAAGTGTAAAAGTACCAGATCATGTAGAAACGTTACCTTATAACTTTACAGATACTATAAATTGTCAAACTCCACGCCTGAAGAATTGCTCTTGCAAAGCTTATGCATATGACGCAGGTCTTGGCTGTATGTTTTGGAATGGAGATTTAGTTGACTTAATGAGCAACTCACCAGCTGGGGTGGATCTTTACTTACGTCTCGGCTCCTCAGAACTTGGTACGTTTTTCAATTCCAGAAATTTCATTAACGCCTTGGACTGAACCAAATTTTTTTTTTTTTAATACATAAAGTGAACTTGATATAGAACTTGAAATGTCGTTTTAGCATTATATATTTTGTATTACTTATCCATGTTAATGATAATATTTATATGCTTTTCCAAAAGACATATGACAAGGAGTTTCACTGTTGTGGTTGTTGATTGCAAACAAGGCCACGTGTGATATATTTATAGATGAATTTAAATTATATATATACTTGAAAGCGTTATTGCCCATTTTTCCTTATTTTTAAACCTCTTGTGATTGCAATATTTGTAGTATAGCATTGAACTTATTGTTAGAAAATGAATTCTATATGAATTTTCTTCTTGTTTTCTTTGATAAAGGTACATGCAAGAAGAATATGACAATTAATACCAGCTGTAATATCAGTTGTGATAGGAACTATTCTCATAACAGCCTCTGGATTTTTCTTGTGGAAAAAATGGTCAAAGCAAAAAGGTGATGTTATGTTTTACTCTAATAGTTCATTCAGGGCATTAATAATGATTTGAGCGATGAGGCGAATAAATCCTTGCTTTGGGCAATGGAAGTCACATTTCTCCTCCTCTTTTTACTCTCTCTACCCCTACCCAAAAACACTTCATATGAGAAAATGTTGCTAATTTATATTTTATTTACAAAATAAAACTAATCACGCTCTCTTGTGACGAATTTGAAAAATGAATGAAATTACTTATGACTTGCGAAGTGTAGCTTGTTATAATTTTGATGGTATATTGATGAAATGGATTGATATGTGCAAAACACAGGGGATCATTACAACAAGGGGGATTACAAAACTAAAGCAAGTAAAAATTCAAGAAGTATCACAGTTTGATTTTAGAAAGTTGGCAACTGCAACAAACAACTTTGACATAGCAAATGAACTTGGGCAGGGTGGTTTTGGTCCATATACAAGGTGGTATTCACTTTTTTTTATTCATCATTTTTTCAAGTCTTATGAAATTAATTAGATAAAGGTTTTAGCTGTTTTTACAGGAGGTCTTTGTTCATTTATTTCAGGGGAAATTTAAAGATGGACAAGAAATAGCTGTAAAAAGACTTTCGAGATCATTTGGACGAGGTGTTGAAGAATTTATTAATGAAGTGGAGTTAATTTCTAAACTTCAACACCGAAGCCTTGTTAAACTTCTCGGTTGTTGCATTGAAAGAAAAGAGATGCCGGTTTATGAATATCTACCAAACAAAAGTTTGGATACTTATATCTTTGGTTAGTGCTCATCTTCTATGCATGTGATAGTTTATTGTCTTGGATGTCTCTTTTGGCACTTCAACTCTTATTTTACCTTGTTATCTCTTAACATTTGTACCAATGCTTTCCATGTTTCTAAGTACATGTCTCTAAGAAATACTTCCCATGGGTTTGAATGCTATGGTTATTCCTAAAATAATATTTTGTAGATCCATTGCAACAAAAATGGTTGGGATGGGAAAAACACTTCAGCATACTTGAGGGAATAGCTAGGGGATTACTTTATCTTTACAAAGATTCAAGATCAAGAATTATACATAGAGATTTGAAGGTAAGTAACGTATTACTTGATGAACAAATGAATCCAAAAATATCAGATTTTAAAATGACTAAACTTTTCAAAGGTGGTCAAGACCAAGCAAATACAGAAAGAATTGTTAGAACATTGTAAGTTTTCCTTTTACTTGTCCTTGATAAGAATATTGATAGAACATTGAGAGCTCAAATACTCGTTCAAATGCAGTGGCTACATTTCTCCTAAATATGCAACTGAAGGACTTTATTCAGAAAAATCATGTTTTTAGCTTTGGTGTTTTGCTAATAAAGATTATTAGCAGAACACAAGTTTTTATGAAAATGCAGAATCTTTTATGCTTTTAGGTTTTTTAAGTCTCTCCAATTTGCCTTCCTTTCTTGGAAAAGGTATTAAACGTCTTTGTCTTAATTAATATAAATTTTGATGTTTGATAATTGTCTTTTTTTTTTTTTGTGTAAATTTTTCTAGGCATGGAAATTATGGATTGATGGCAATGGTACCCTTTTAATAGATCCACAAATATATGATGCAAGCTTTTTCAAGGATATGTTGAGATGCATGCATATAGGTCTATTATGTGTGCAAGAACTTGCAAAAGATAGGCCCACTATGGCCTCTGTGATGTCAATGCTTCAAAGCGAGATTATGGATATCCCTCTCCCAGGCCAACCTGCGTTCATCCTGAGGCAAACGTGGTCTTGTACTGCATGGCAAACTCTGAATAATGAAGAGTTATGTTCCATCAATACTGTAACTCTGTCAAAATTTGAGGGAAGATAGACAAGGATTTGTGATGTTTTTGTTTCGTACAAAAGATCTAAATTATTTTCAGACATCCATTCATTTTAAAAAGATAGCTCTTAGACCTTCTCTCCACAAAATTTTTATGCTTTGTTTGTCCCAAACATTCAATATTTTTTGCCGCATTTAGTGAACAAAATTTATGGTCATGTCCCCTTCTTCAAATGCATAATCATAAATGCAAACATGTGATTTTTGAGCTTTTTATAATCACCATATCCATTCATATACTTAATCCTCCTGCAATGACACGAGATTATGAATGCTATCACATATTTTTATCTTGCTTTTTCTCACCAACCGGATTGGTTATCTTCGGTATTCTCCTGCAAAGGGTCAAAGCAAGAGATAAGTCTACAATCTGCCTCTCATAAATATGTTTCCAGGGTCAACTTTTACCACATTTTGAATGGGCCAAGATTTCATGGAAATCACAGTTTTAGCCCCAAGTGTTTCCAGTGCTCCCTCTGCTGGATCATTAATTCTCCTTGCTTTTCTTCTAGTGTTCAATTGCTTCAAGTGTTGATTTCAATCTAACAATTTACAAAGATTGTCAGGTTTAGCCACGAAACAAATGAAGCTATCTTGTGGGATATTATTTCCTCTTTCCAATTATTTTCTCCTTTAGACATTGTAGTAATTCATGCTTCTCATTTAGCATTCTTTAAGTGACCTTGCCTTTACTCATTGTCATTGAAGTCTCCGCAAACAACCCAAGGCACAGTAATTGAGTTTGAGGGATTGAATAAATCCTCCCACAAATCTTTTCACAAATTTGAATGCGGTATCGCATGAATTGCTGTCAACAAAAAATTGGGTTTGCCGGAGGTAGAGCATCTTAGATGAAAGTATTGCCGGTTGGTATGAAGTATATCGACATCAATTATATTACTTCTCCACGCTACCATACCATCAGGCCGCCAGATCTACCATGGCTTAGGATAATAGAGAGCTGGTCGAAACCCATTGAAGGGAGGCTGTGGAACTTATTTTCATTTCCACACTTTGTTTCAGAGAGAAAAAGCAACATGGGCTTTGACCCATTAAAAACTGACTATAAATTCCTAGAGACACTTTTACCGCAAGCCCATCTGGTGTTTCAAAAAAGTATGTAATCCATAAAAGAAATTTGGGGGAAAACAAGCCCAATTAAAACAGGCCCAATTAATTCCCTAGGGGTGTTTTAGGGACAAAAGACCCCACACTTTGATCACTCATTTTGACTTCATCAGGGTTGGGCTCAATCACGCGGCCCAATGAAATTAACCCTTTCATTCATGGCTCCTTCACCCGGATCATGAGGTCGTGAAGGCGGTTCTGCCAGATGCTCCATACAAACATTTTCTGGTTGTTCATCATCTTGTATTCTGTCGTTTTCACCGAGACTTTCCTTGTTTTCAGGTTCTTTCTCATTTGAATCCTCTAGAGTAAGCATTAGAATCTCGTTGTTTCTCACATGGTTGGTGAATAAATCTCATGATCTTTTCTCCCTTCTTCCCTCATTTTCTCGTGTAATAGCTCTCTCCACTGTTGGGATCGGGACCACCTCAAGAGGACGTTTGTTATTTTTATTCTGTCTTTTTTTCTGCACGTTCTTTCTACTAGTCACACTTCGGATTGCATTAGCAAATGCACTATCAGGTTGTACGTGCTGTGCCTCTGGCTCTGTAGGTACCACATTATCCTCAATTTCTTTTGTTAATTCAAAATTATTATCCACATCAGCAAGGACGTCGAATCTTGTTCCGGGGCCTTGTTGCTGGAGAATTTCACCTTGTTTCTCTTTCCCCCTTCGTTGCCAGTGACTCTTTTGCACAACCCGCCACTGATCATCTTTATTAACAAAGAGCCATTAGCCCCTTCATTGTTATCTGCTTGTGGTTTTTATGAAGGACAAGTTTCAGATCGATGCCTGTAGATACCACAGTTAAGGCATAAAGAATGCAGGCCTTCATATTCAACAAAGCAATCTTCTCCATCTAAAGAAAATCCTGACATTAGCTGCTTCCCCAAATCAATTAATACACAAATTCTAGCATAGTGGCCTCTTAGTTGGCAAGAGGTGTTCATATCAACCTTTAAAGTTTCTCCAATTCTATTGCCGATAATAGTAAGAGCTTCTTCATCATAATATTCCAGGAAAACTCGAGAGAGTCTCACCCACACTGCAACTTTGTCAATGGTAGCCCTTGCAGGATTAAACCTTGGTTCCCATGGTCTCACCGTAAGGTAGTGATCGTAGAGCATCCAAGGTGCTCCAGTCAAGGCATTAAAGTAGTCTTCTTTGTTAGAAAGCTTTACCACAAAATATCCATAACCAATGTTGACCAAGCTGATGACTCCTTTCTGGGCCCACAGAGTTTGCAAACGAGATTCTAAAGCCTCGTAACCGATATGCCTGTCTAGCAACTTCACTATCACAACTTTCTTCCACGCTCTGGAGAGTCTTTTTTTCAATCTCCCAGAGAAATGGAAAGTCGGGAAGTTCCTATTAGGATCTTCCCTTATCCTGACCAGTGGCTCTTTCTTCCCATATTCCATTTCAGAACTATCAGACAAAGAATCATTCGACTTTTCCTCATCATCTTCCTTGTCATCTTCCGTCTGTTCCTCTTGTCTCTTAACTCCTTTCAAGGTATCAGCGAAAGAAGGTCCAGTTCTGTGACT